TCGCCCTCTCCCAGCCCCCAGGAGTCCCCCAGTCCCAGCCCCGAGGAGTCACCCTCTCCCAGCCCCGAGGTGTCGCCCTCTCCGAGCCCTGAGGAGTCGCCCTCTCCCAGCCCCGAGGAGTCGCCCTCTCCGACCCCAGAGGAGTTGCCCTCTCCCAGCCCCGAGGAGTCACCCTCTCCCAGCCCACAACAGTCACCCAGCTCCAGCCCCGAGGAGTCACCCTCTTCCAGCCCACAACAGTCACCCAGCCCCAGCCCTATACCAAGCCCCAGCCCCTCGCCAAGCCCCAGCCCTATGCCAAGCCCTTCACCAAGCCCCAGCCCCTCGCCAAGCCCCAGCCCCTCGCCAAGCCCCAGCCCTTCACCAAGCCCCAGCCCTGTGCCAAGCCCTTCCCCAAGCCCCTCGCCTATGTTGAATCCCTCTCCCAGTCCGCCTCCCCCACCATCGAATTGCCCAAGAGGGACTCCCCTCGTTTCCGTTACGCTGGTCCTGATCTGTCCTGTGGGGACCCCTACGCTCTGCTTGGATGTTGTCCTCCTTCCACCCAGCGTGACGGTCAAACAGTACTGCAAGACCTGAGCACAGATTCATCAACGGCCGCCTCTCCAGAGCCGTGCACTTTCCTGATGATGTCACTTGACAATGAGCAATCCTTGTGTCACTGATCTCTGGCAACCTTTGGCTGGTATGTTTCAGGTCCCGTTCCTTTTGTCCTCATCCACGATCCCCGGGACCTACTCAGATTGCATAGCAGGAGACCACATCTCCTCAGCATTCTCCTCTATGTGTCTGCATCTATGCTTCCAATTACCAGCATGATGAGGCTCCCACGCCCACAATGATGATGCAAACCCGCCCTACTCTTGACGGCCTGCCCCCGAAGACTGGTTGACAACGCAGTCTGTGCTGCCTCTCGAGGTACCTGAGGTGCACCTTCTATGCTTCATCCCATGCGCTCGTGATCTGTCATATCATTCCAATCAATGAAAGAATGTGACTATTGACTTTTAGGATGCTGCACTCAGACTTGCTGGCAAGGGCACCCCGCTGCCTCTGGTCGAGGTGGTTGCTCTAAAGAGCAGCATCGAGTTGAGAATCTGAATCCGATGCGCCTCAGGAACAAGGATCCATGACCCCAGTGCTTCCCAGTCTCGGGAGTATTTTCCTGGCAGGAACGTCATGCCCTAAGCGTCTTGTTCTAGGAAGAGTGCCAGCTTATTCACCTCGCCCCTGGCCCTGAAATGTGGCCTTGAGGTTACCCTGCCCCAATGACACTCTCTTGCAAGGGATGGGATGGGTTACAATCGAGCACGGAGCTATGAGCCCGTCTTGTGCTGGGACAGGGCTGTGGCGCAGACTTGGGAAAAGGGTCGGCGGGGTTGACTGGTACACACATGCTGCACATCAACATCTCATGCCTCTGCATAGTCCTGTGCCCCCACGAGTTCAGCGATGCGACCCTTCCAGGCAGATGCCACCCAATCAAAGCTCTCCATGATGGCTTCGGCGCTCATGGGCAGGGCCGCACCCGCGATTTCCTGCGCAGGGTGACCGGGGGAAGGGGTCTCGATGACCCGGCGTGCGGCGGCTGGGCGCGGCAGAGTGTCTTGCATGTACTCATGCACGCGAGGCACCGCATGCCAGGAAACCGGCGACAGGCCAGGTGTACCTGGAGGTTGGTGGCGTTGACCAGAGGGGTAACAAAGTCGATGACGGACTGCGCCGTTTGAGTCATGAATTCGGCGGAGATGGGGCGGCTCGGGTGGGCGTTCAGCTTCTCGTAGATGGGTGTGCCTGTGAGGCGACGGTGGGCTGACTTTGCGCAGGATGGAGTTTGGTACACCAGGGGCCCAGGGCATGCTCACCATGAAGCCATGGGGGATGGGGATCCAGATGCATGCATGAGGCGGCGGCAGGTGCTTGAGCAGGCGGAGGCACAGACTCGGGCGTGGGACTCACCCCTGCCGCCCCACCTTCCTTTTCCCCCCTCTCCCGTCGCCGAGCAGCCTGTGCCCAGGGGCCGGCATGGGCGCACCTTGACCTATGATGGACAGCGCACCCACAATGTCCGACAGGAGGAGCTTGGGAAAGATGGTGGAGATGATGTACTTGAACCCAGCGTTGGTGGGGTTGTCAGTGAAGGGTGCGCCGGGCGTGTCAAAAATGAGCGCTTGGGTTGCATTGACGTCCAGCTCCCAGCCGAGGGGTTTGTAGAGACGAATCTCGTCCCGCACGGTCTGGTTGAGGGCGTCGAGCATCTGTGGGGAGGGGGGTCAGGGGTAGGCGCTCACTCCAGTGGCCGGGTGTTGTCCATCCCATAGCACATTTCCCCAGCACCGAGGGGAGGAGGGAAGGACCCACACGTTGCGGTGTCTGTCCCCGCTCCGCCGGTGAGGAGTCACCCCCTCTCTTGCAGGGGAACACAGTGCCAGTGAACCAACCTGGAGGTTGAAGTGGGTGCGGTTGACCTCCGCCCGGCAGTAGCCGAAGAAGGCGAGCTCTGGTGTGTCCGCATAGGCGGCCGCCTCCACCGGCTGGTAGCTGGGCGACAGCATGAACCCTGCGGCGCGGCGGGCGGGCGGGCGGGCGGGGGTGGGCTGGCCGCCGCAGGGCGCGTGAGGCGGCGGCGTGGCCTGGCGCCTTGGTGGCAGCCCCTACCTGTCCTCCAGCCTGGCACTGCAAATCGTGCCGCGCCCCCCATCCGCAACCCCTCCTTCCACCCCTCCCCGCGCCGCACCGCAGCCCTCCACCCCCTCACCCGCATGGCCCATGGTGACGTGGATGGGGCCACGGGCGACGCCCTCCTTGTCGTAGCCCACGCAGGTGTTGTTGAACACGGGGCAGGTGCGCTGGTAGACATGGTTGTGGCCCTGCCAGGTCATATCCACGCCAAAGTACACGAACATAGCCTCAAAGACACCGCGCATCTCGGCCGCGACGCGCTGGGCGGAGGCCTCTGACACGCCATCGAAGGCGTCTGATGTTGGGAGGGGGAATGAGTGGGAGGGGGCCGGGGCTCAGATGGTGCACCCCTCATTAGCACACATGAGTAGAGGTGACGGCAGCCATGGAGGGGGATGTGGCATGGAGCTGCAGGCTGCAGCCCTCCCCGCAGATCCCACTACGTGACCCCTGATGCGCTCTTACCTCCCCCCCTCACCAGTGTACATCATCCTGTGGAATCCAACCACCACCCAGGGCGTCTTGGAGCGATCCACGGTCAACAGGTCCCGCACCACAAACCTGGTTGAGGAGGATAGGCAGATGAGGGACGTAGACGTAGGGTGCGGGCAGCAAGGCCCAATCACCTCCAGCTTCAACCCAAGGGGTGTATGGGCAGGCGTTGATACTTGCAGCACATCCGCCAGGGCGCCGGCGCCCCTGCAAGGCCGAGAAGCCCACCTCCACCGTCCCCCCCAACACCCACTTGTACTGCTCTGAGTCCTCGTCAAAGCGAGCCTCTGTGTCTGCAAAGGGCATGGGAAAAGTGGGGAGGGCATGGTATCAGCAGCAGCGAGGGAGGGCGGATCATGCAGGGTGGCACTCAGGGGCACCCATGGCAGATGCCCTGGCCCACTAGCATGGCTTCCACAAGAAGCCCTGAGCATCTCAGGCACAATAAGGGCTCTTCTTCCCCCACTCTCGATGCCAAGCTCACTGAGCTGGAGGAAGTGGATTGGACCATGGTCGATGGAGTAGAAGAGGTCGTCGCTCGACACAGTGGGCATGGGGGCCCGCATCTTGTAGGGAACGCCACACTCGCCGCCTGCATGGAAGGGGGGTGGGGGGGGGGGGGTTCGACCAGTTACTTCCCCTGGTATCTGGAAGCGGCGCTCCTCCCAGGAGCAGCAGCACTAGCAAGCTGCAGACCCAAAGAGGCCTTGCCCCGATGCGGGATGCAGCGGAGGGGCGGTTAGTTGCACATGTTGGCACCATGCCTCCCCTCCCTTGACAGCCCCAATCCCCCACTTCTGTGCGCCCTCCTCACCGCTGTCAATGGCCTCTGCAAATTGCGAGTCGTGCGCCGTTGGCCAGTCGTACTCGTGGTTCCCAGGAGAGTACATGGTGGGGACGCGGCTGGAGAGAGGCTCCATGAGGTGCCCAAAGGTGTCCCACTGCAGCCAAGGTGGTTGGAGTGGGATTGCCCCCGATGAGCTCCTGAGGGGCTCAAGAGCACTGGCATGAAAAGAACCGTGCAAATGTCCGCACTGGGTGCAGGTTCCATGTCCTCGGCCCTCCTCTCCCCCTTACTCAGAGCAAGTATGTGATGCTTGCATGTGGCAGGTCCCCCCACCCACCCAGCCGCGCCCACTCCCCAGCCCATCCACACCCCAACCCCCGCACCTGCCACGCCATGCCTCGAGCATATGACACATCGCCATTGTGCCAGGCGGAGTGGTACTCCCCGGTGCTGGCCTCCTCGATCAGCGCGGGGTACACCAGGATGGTCCCGTCCTGGTCGGCCTGCTGACTCAGCGTCACCAGCACGGCTTGCAGGGCCTGAGGTGGGTGGTGTGGCGTGCGCGGGCGTGGAGGATGGGCAGGACCCAGTGCCTCACACCCATGGCCCCGGGTCGATCCTACTCCCCTGGGGCACCTGCCTCCCAATACCAGCCTCCCCCCTCATGACCAACCCTGGTCTCGCCACAGCAGCACTCACAGTGTACTGCAGGGTGCCGATGGCATAGAACTCGTCAAACAGGCCGTAGGTGTCATACCAGTACCCAAAGCCCTTGGTCCCGTCCTCGTTGTACTGCCCCACATCCGCAAAGGCCAGCAGCTTCACGGCGTCATCGGGGCCTGGGGCGCTGATGAAGGAGCTGACGGTGCTGGTCGTGTTGGCAGCCTGCGGGAGGGGGCGAGGAGTGTTGCAGGGTGAGGGGCTGCTCGGCCGAGGCCAAGGATTGGCTCGGGCCAACAACTCCCACAAGAACAGGCGCGTCACTCTCCCAGAGACCACACTCCGACGCCCCTGGAGATAGTGCCCGGGAGGCCGCAGGGAGGACGTGCCTGCGCAGCGCTCCTTCCCCACGGCAGCCACCGCTTGTATACATCCTTGAGAATGAGTCAAACCCCACAGACACCCCTGCACCCTGCGTGAGCCCAGCGCACCTCGTCCCCGACGACGTAGTAGTAGCGGGTGTTGGGCTCCAAGTCGGCCATCACGCCGCTGTTGATCATCCCCGGTGCCTTCCAGCCGGTGGAGTTGGCTGGGGCACCGCACAGGTCGGCCGCGGTGTAGGTGGTCACGTTGGCCGGCACCTGGGCATCCAGCTCGTCCTCGGCCAGACCGTACCTCACAAAGGGAGCGCCCTCGAACTGTGTCAGCCAGGTCACCCGCATCTCGCTGCGCCAGTTTGGAGATTGGGGGGCGAGGGGGGGGGTTCGTTCTTGAGTGGGGTCGCGGGCATGAGACGCCAACGCCCCTCTCGTGTGGTATCCGTGGGACCTGGCATTTATGTTGGGCTCTCGTCTGAGCGTTAGTGGCACCCACCTGCCCCCCACACCACACCTGGGATCTTCGGTGAAGGCCAGCTTGATCTGTGCGGGCTGCTGGGGGTTGCCCGCCGTCACTGGCTCCGACTCGGCCACCAACGACTTGTTGCTGAAGCCGCCGCGCAGGAAGAGGAACTTGATGGGCTCGTAGTAATTGTACACCTGGAAACTGTGGTGCGGCAATGGGGCCCGTGCATTGAGTTCATGGGAAACATGACAAGCGCCGCGGTATACAGGCAGAATTAGACCACCCGGCAATGCAGCATCAAGTCCCGAATACGACTCTGACGCCCCTACCTCTGTGCCACAGGCTGCCTCCCCACCTGTACGATCCAGAGCCTGGGGCGCCGGCACTCTCTGACAGCGAGGTCCAGATATACTTCATGGGCAGGCTGGTGGTGGGGTCCTTGTCCGCTAGGTACATCGCCAGCATGTCTGTGGCTGCAGGCGACTGCAGGGGTGGGTCGGCGTTAGGGTCAGCCATGCCTGGGACCGCGCGGCGGCAGTCACAGCGACAAGGCAGTCGTCGGCCCCTTGCACCCACGTGGGCACCCACCAATCTACTCACCGCTACGCCGGACCACGAGACGTTGACATACTCCCCGGAATACTCGATATGGTTTGTGGACACCTCGATCACGATGGATGTGTCTGGCGTCGACAGGAGGTTGCGAGGCAGGAATGGTGCTGTGCGAGCCGCGGCTGGCGCGGCCAGCGCCACCGCGGCCAGCACCACAAGCAGAGTTAGGCGGCCTCGACACATCCTCATGATGAACAGACGTTATATTTCTGCAACGTATGGTAGCCAGACCCAAATTTGGGGCCGACCTCCTGTCGCGTTTCCGGATGTGATGGGTTGGCGGATGGGGGGGCCGGGGGGATTCGGATCAAGCCGTCCGGGCTACTCCTGTTCTCCAAGTGAGCTTAGGTGCGGAAACGGCTCCATGATGTTTACTTTGGGTCATCATGAAAAGAGCATAATTGTAGCTCAACTTCGTTGAATACACAACATTTGGATGGGTATGGGTGGAGCTGCACTGAGTGCGCGCCAAGCCTCCGGAATGGTGACCTGGCAATACCCATGCAGGGTCAACATTCCCAACACGCCAGACGCCGCTCATGCTAGGGCCGGTCAGGGAGTCCGGAGTACATAATTACGGGCGAGTGCGTCACTTCCCTTCGGGGTGTCTTTCGCAAGGGCCGCATGTGGTGGATGCCCGGCCGAGGAGTGTTTCATGGCGCCAGGCGGGACCTCCGGACGGGGTCCTCCGCGCAATTCGACACGAACCCCGAGCGATCCTCCACCTGTGCAGCCTGCCACACCGCTGCTCGGACAGACAGCACGACATTAACACGCGATCCAAAGTTCAAGGTGGCAGCAGGCGGTGTAAAAGGGCTCGAGCGGCGCAGGCAACCCCATGCACCTGAGCCTGCAGAGTGCAGGCCCTACATCCAAAGCTCCGGGCACCCCAGCTCTAGGCGCCGAGCAGCCGCCGCATGGCGGCGGCGGCAGCGAGGGGCGGCGGCGCGCCGCCCCGCGAGGCCTCGATCTCCTCCACCAGGTCGACGATGCCCAGGGTCATGATGGCGCCGAGGGCCGCCACCACCAGCCAAGCCAGGGCGCGGGGGCCCCTGCATAGGTTGAGAGGGGATTGGGGAGGGATGTGCTGGTCAGGAGCAGGCTTTACATACAGAAAGCCCTCACGGTCCAGTTTGCACCCGGCCACCCACGCCCCACCCCACCCACGCCCCACCCCATCCACGCCCCACCTCCGGTCGTCGATGTAGCTGAGGGCCCTGCTGGCGATCTGGTTGGTACGCCAGAGGTAGACCAGGAGCGCGTAGCCGCACATGAGCAGGGCCACCGGCAGGAGGATGATGGCGATGAGCTGGACGGACTGGGGCGCAGCCTGCGGGGTGGGAAGGGGTGAAGGGGCTGTTTGTACTGGGGATCGGGAGTGTGGCGAGGGGAGGTTGAATGGGCACCATGGGGGATTTGGGGGGTGTCGAGGCACTGCCTGCACGCAGGCTGTCGCCCGGCTTTGAAGCCGGGCAGGCGGCCTCAATGCCTCGCCTGGAAAGCAATCTGGCTGCCCTGTGCCCCCTCCCTCACATCAACACACACCCCTCCCAACCTTCCTCCCCCCGCCCGCCACAACACACACACACACACACACACGAGGAAACTAGAAAGAAAAAACCACCCACCTCCTCGGGGTGCTTCCTGCTCTGCGTGGCTCCCGAGTACCCCAGCAGGGCGGTGGCGATGGACCCGATGGTCACCGCCATGTGCAGCCAGGCGAGGAAGGTGCGCTCATTGGCAAAGTAGGTCTTGGGCTCCATCCTCTCCGGCAGCGTGCCGGGGGGCAGCGCCTTGTGCTCCGCCATGGGCGGCTTGCGGAACCACCAGTCCAGCAGGCCAGAGGGCTCGGGCTCGTCGAGACGCCGCCCCGACCCGCCGGGCATCAGGCGCAGCGTGGGGGCGTCGCCGAGCAACGGGTGGCGCAGCTCGCGCTCCGCGCTCGCGCCGCCGCCGGGGCCCGCCATGTCGGCGCCCTGCATGCGCGACTTGCTGCGCTTGCCCATCTTCAGGTCGCGCGCGCTGTGCGTGTCGCGCGTGTGTGTATAGAGGGGGGCCCCGGGGCGAAGTTGGAGGATGGTGCGGGTGTGGGGGCGCAGGCGGGCAGGTCGTAAAAACGAAAGGGACTCCAATAGGAATCAGGCGCAGGGTCTCCTCCCACACCCCTCCACCGACCCAGGGGCAGACACCTTGCAGCTGGAAAGGAAATCTTCCGCCCCTCCCTCCCCCCCCCCAAACTCACGTGGGGTGCACCTCGGCGGGCAGCTCCGGGGCCGACAGCAGCATCGAGGCACGCACCACCTCGTCGTCCACCCAGTACGGCACCGCCTGCAAACAGGATGGTGGGAGGGGGGATTACTATCGGCGTAGAGCCTGGCGCCGCGGCACAGGGCATGCCGACCGGGGCGGCGCGGCCCTGCCTCCCCCAAGCCACACCTGGACCATGTCGGCGAAGAGCGTGGCCACGCCCTGGATGTACTTTGAGAACTTGGACACCTCCGTCAGCAGGCCTGGTGGTGGTGGTGGGGGGGGGAGAGACGCGGGTGGAGGGCTGGCGATGCGGGGGAGGGGAAACCGGGCCCCACCCTTCAGCTGTCCTTCAGACCGCTCACATTCCTCCCCATCGTGTCCTGCACTGGAGCCCTGCCGCCCTGCCCCTGGGCCCTTCATCCAGCCCCTTTGTGCCAGCCCCCCACCCCCTTCCCCCTTTCCCCCCACACAAACTACCAGACACCCACCCGAATCGGTGAGCTCGGAGACCCAGGGAGGGGGCGCGTCCCCTCCCGCCAGCGTCAGCTTGATCTCCAGCACGGCGTGCGGGAAGCGCGTGATCTCGGTGCGCGCCACGGGCAGCGTGGGGTCGCGGTACCAGCGGCCTGCGGCCGAGCAGGTGGGCCCGTCCTCCGAGTTCTCCTTCATCATGCAGATGGTGGTGTCCAGATTGACAGAGACCGAGGGGTCAAAGGGGATCTGCGACGGCGAGGTGGCGAGCGTGTTGGGGCATGGAGCGGTGGCGGGGTGGGAGGGGGTGGGTGGCGAGGGGGCCGGAGGGGCTCTGCGCAGCCCTGTTTCAGAGGGCGGCTGGCGTGGACACCTGGCTCGACGCGTGGCGCGCCCTCGGGCATTGTGGCGCGCCCTCGGGCATTGTGGCGCGCCCTCGGGCATTGTGGCGCGCCCTCGGGCATCGTGGCGCGCCCTTGGGCATCGTGGCGCTCCAACCCTCGACCACCCGAGCCATCCACCCGGCTCAGTTCGGGCCCCCCTCCCCAGAGCTCGCCTGGAAGCGGGTGCGCATGTACTGGGTGCGCATCGTGGGCTTCAGCTGCTTGGCGTCCACCACCCGCTGCACGTCGGTGAAGACGGCGCGGAAGGCCTCCACCGCGGCCTCGCCCGGCGGCGGGGCCTGGCGCGCCGCCCATTCCGCCGCCGCCTCCTCCACGGAGTACTCGCCCTCCAGGAAGCCGACCACGCGTTCCTCCGGCAGCACGATGCTGGCCGCCTCACTCTCCTCCCCCTGCCAGCTCTCCTTGTGCGTCTTGCGGTCGACGTGCACCAGCGTCGGCCCCGCGCCGCCCTGCCAGCGCAGGCGCAGCGCCATGGCATTGGGCCGCTTGTCCAGGCGGCAGTGGTACAGCTCAAGCGAGCTGTTGTCCAGGTACACCTGGTTCACCAGCTCCGCGTCACCAGAGAAGTCGGCGGGGGAGACCTGGTACACAGGCAGGTGCTGCAGCAGGTGGTGCTTCACCGTGCTCACGTCGCTCATCCGCACCCAGAACTTGGTGGTGACGCAGCGCACGCCCTGTTCATTTGGGGGGGTGGGGGATGGAGATGGGGAGTGATTGGAGCACCAGCAGGAGAACTGGGGGCCTGACGCCGCGGCCCGAGTCGTGAGCGGCTGCCCTGCCCTTTCCAGAGAGCCTTTCTCACCACTCCCCTTCACACCCACCAGCCGCCCGACATGAAGTACCTGGGTGACGCCGGGGTCGGACACCACGGTGGCGCTCTTGTCGCCCCGCAGCTTGGAGTAGACGTTGGAAAGGACGAACAGGAGGTCCGAGTAGTTGCCCTGCGCAGGGGGTCAGAGCACAGGAGCTTGAGATTTTGCTGTGGCATGCTGTGCTGACCGGCGGGTGCCAGGTGGAGAGACAGGGGAGCATCTGGATCAGGCTGGGCCCCAGGTGGGCTGGGTGCGGAACAACACCAAGACTCTGGTGGGGGGGGGGGGAGGGATGGGTGCATGGCGCACATTCAAACCCTTCCAGAATGTTCCCCCGTCCTCTAGCTGGTCCCGCATTGCACGACGTGCACAGGCGTGCAATGCAGTCACAAAGCCAAGAGAGGCACGGCATGGGAAGGCTCCGTGGCAACCAGGTGCACAGTTTGTCTGAGCCACACTTGCCCCCGTCACCAATGAATTGCTCTCGTCTTAGCTCCAAGGCCCCCCCCCCCTTCCCCCCTCTATTAAACAAACAAATACAAATACCTGAACCCAGGGCTGGTTGTGCAGGTGGGCAATGTAGAACTGGCGGCAGGGGGAGGCCGGCAGCATCTTGTCGTGCTTCTTCAGGATCTTGTGGAAGCCCATGTAATTCAGGTTGACGTACTTTTCAAGCTGCAGGAACTCGTCGCCGACATTCTTGGCGTCCTGCAGGACAGAGCGGGATCCGGCGGGATGGGAGCAGCACAGTGCTCATGAGTTGGGCTTTCTGGTGAGCTCAGTCTTGAGCACCTAGTCAGAGCCAAGATCAGGAAACCAAGGGCCCAGCACCGCACAAACTCTGAAGTGCTTCTGCCGCCCCTTCTCATGACCTCTCAGATCCACCAACCCCGGGGCTCCAAAGACAGGCCTGGCCCCAGCCCCAGCCCCCTTCCATGCCAGGCCCCTCACCTCCAGCAGCGCTTCGGCGTCCTCCGGCTTGACATCGGCGGCCGCGGCCCTCACATGCTCCAGCCTCTCACGCAGCTTGGCCACCAGCTGGGCAGTGAAGCGGCCCACCTTCTCCACCTCGCTGTCCAGGCACTTGAAGAAGTCCTCCTCCGCAGAGTCGCGCCGGTTCTGGACCCGCTGGACCGTGAGCGAGGTGGTGCGAGGGGAGAAGCTGGGCAGGGTGTTCGGGT